AGTTGTACATGATGTTGGTGAGGCTGCACTTGGAGTATTGTTTTCAGTTTTGGTCACCTTGTTGTAGGGAGGATGTTATTAAACTGGAAAAAGTGCAGAGGAGATTTACAAGTATGTTGCCAGGACTCAAGAGATTGAGTTCTAGGGAGAGGTTGGATAATGTGGGACTTTTTTCTTTAGAGCATAGGAGACTGAGGGGGTATCTCGCAGAAGTGTATAAGATCATGAGAGGCATGGATGGGGTGAATGCACTCAGTCTTTTTTCCAGGGTTGAGGAATCGAGGACTAGAGGGCATCAGTTTAAGGTAAGAGGGAAAAGAATACATGGGAACCTGAGGGGCAACTTTTTTACACAGAGGGTGGTACGCATATGGAATGAGCTGCCAGCAGAAGTGGTTGAAGTGTGCACATTAACAATGTTTAAAAGGAATTTGCACGAATGCATGGATAGGAAACGTTTAGAAGGATACGGGCCAAGTGCAGGGAAATGGGGTTGGCGTGGATGGACATTTTGTTCGGCATGGACCAGTTTGGGCCAAAGGGCCTGTCTCCGTGCTGTAGGACTCTGAGTCTATGACAATCACCAGGGAAGGCGTGTGAGCAAATCATTGGAGTTGCATTCTGGCAAGTCCTCAGTCTGATTCACTTCACCCTAGGGTCTTAAAAGAAGTGGGCAGTGAGATAATTAATGCAATGATATTATTTTTCTAAAATTCCCTCATGTTTGGAATGATTACCTTAGAGAATGGAACGTATAGCAGTACAGCACAGGAACAGGCCTTTTGGCGCAATATATCTGTGCTGACCATGATGCCATTCTATACTAATCCCATCTATCTGCACATGGTATCCCTGTATTCCATGCCTGTTCATATGTCTGTCTAAATGCCTCTTAAACGTTGCTGTCATATCTGATTTAACATCAAGACTGCATTTGTGTGAGGAGCCCTAGCAAAACTTGAGTTAATGGGAATCAGAGGGAAAACTTTCCACTGTTTGGAGTCATACCTGGCATCAAAGGAAGATGGTTAAGGTTGTTTAAGGTGAGAGTTCTCAGCATATCGCTCCAGGAATTCCTCAGGATAGTGAGGGAAAATTGGAGAATTTTAGTGCAGCTGTACAGCACTTGCGAGTGTGACAAGATGTGGCTTTAAGAGGGATTCGTTTGTCTTGTTTCTCTTGAAAGCAAGTGTTGTAAACCTGGTGCTGAGTTGTCTGCTCTGCGCACAGCAGTGTAGCTAGCTTTGTTTTTATTAAAGTAGACAAAAGAAGCATGAGTGGGTGGAGTCAGGCTTGCACAGACCCAGGGTTTCCAGGTTTTGCTTTCAGTTGGTGAAGCTGGAATTTTGGAAGAAGTCTCAACTCTGTCCAACTGTTGCTGCAAAAGCTTGTGTTCTTTCCTTACTGCTGGCTTTGTGCTTTCGCATTCTCCTTTCAATTTGCCTTTACCAAGCACATGGACTTCAGCAAGGCCTCCGACAAGGTTCAGCACGGGTAGACTGGTTAGTAAGGTTAGATCACATGGGACCCAGGGGGAGCTAGTCAATTGGATACAAAGTTGGCTCGGAGGTAGAAGACAGAGGGTGGTGGTGGAGGGTTGCTTTTCAGACCAGAGGCCTGTAACCAGTGGTGTGCCACAAGGGTTGGTGCTGGGCCCACTGCTTTTTGTCATTTATATAAACGATTAGGTTGTGAATATAGGAGGTTATGGTTAGTAAGTTTGCAGATGACACCAAAATTGGTCCAGTGGACAGGGAAGAGATTTACCTCAGAGTACAATGGGACCTTGATCAGATGAGCCAATGGGCCAAAGAGCAGCAAATGAAGTTTAATTTACAAAAATGTGAGGTGCTGCATTTTGGTAAGACAAACCAGGGCAGGACTTATACAGTTAATGGTAGGACCCTGGAGGTGTTGCCGAACAAAGAGACCTCAGGGTGCAGGTTCCTTGAAAGTGGAGTCACAGGTAGACAGAGTGGCGAAGAAGGTGTTTGGCATGCTTGCCTTCATTGGTGAGAACATTGAGTAAAGGAGTTAGGATGTCATGTTGTAGCTGTACAGGATATTGTTGAGGCCACTTTCAGAATACTGCGCACAATTCGAGTCACCCTTCAGTAGGAAAGGTGCTGTTAAACTAGAGAAGGTTCAGAAAAGATTTACAAGGAAGTTGCCAGGACTGGGGTGTTTGAGCTGTGGGGAGAGGCTGAATTGGCTGGGGCTTTTTTTCCCTGGAGCTTCAGAGACTGAGGGGTGACCTTATAGAAGATTATAAAATCAAGAGGGGCATGGATAGGCTGAGTAACCAAGGTCTGTTCCCCAGGGATGGGGAAGTCCAAACAAGAGAGCATAGGTTTAAGGTGAGAGGGGAAAATTTTAAAAGGGACCTCAGGGGCAACAGTTTCACACAGAGGGTGGTGCATATATGGAACGAGCTGCCAGAGGAAGTAGTAGCGGTGGGTATAATTACAACATTTAGACTGGTATATGGATAGGAAAGGTTAAAGGGGATATGGGCCAAATTCAGGCAAATGGGACGAGTTGAGTTTAGGAAACCTGGTCAGCATGGATGAGTTTGGCTGAAGAGCCTGTTTCGTGCTTTATGACTCTGTATGACTCTCCACTGGATAACACATTGGCATGGGTAGAACTCTAGCTAGCCATCAAGAAACAAAGTTTAAACTTAAATGGGTCATTTTCTATTTGGCAAGATGTAATGTGTGGTCAGAGTGACAGAATCAGTGCTGAGGCCTCAACTTTTTTCAATTGATGTAAATAACTTGGGTGAAGGGATGGAAGGTGTGTTAACTAAATTCACTCATGTCACAAAGATGGGTAGAAAAATAAACTTTGAAGAGGACAGAGGGACAGCTGCAAAGAATAACTAAGTGAGTGGACAAAGATCTGTCAAACGAGTATGATGTGGAAAAATGTGAAATGTCAGCAGGAAGAATCCAAAAGAAAGGTGTTAATGCTTCAATGATACAGAGCATTAGAACATAGAACATAGAACAGTACAGCACAATACAGGCCCTTCGGCCCACGATGTTGTGCCAACCTATTATCATACTAAGATCAATCTACCCTGCATACCCTACATTTTACTATCCTCCATGTGCCTATCCAAGAGTCGCTTAAAAGTCTCTAAAGTATCTGACTCCACTACCACTGCCGGCAGCGCTATCCACCGTCCACCACTCTCTGTGTAAAGAACCTACCTCTGACATCTCCCCTATACCTTCCTCCAATCACCTTAAAATTATGCCCCCTCGTAATAGTCATTTCCGCCCTGGGAAAAAGTCTCTGACTATCCACTCTATCTATGCCTCTCATCATCTTGTACGCCTCTATCAAGTTACCTCTCATCCTTCTTCACTCCAGTAAGAAAAGCCTAGCTCCCTCAACCTTTCCTCATAAGACCTGCTCTCCAGTCCAGGCAGCATCCTGGTAAATCACCTCTGCACCCTCTCTAAAGCTTCCATATCTTCCCTATAATGAGGTGACCAGAACTGAACACAATATTCCAAGTGTGGTCTAACCAGAGTTTTATAACCTCACGGCTTTTAAACTCAATTCCCCTGCCAATGAAAGCCAACACACCATACACCTTCGTTACAACCCTATCAACTTGGGTCGCAACTTTGAGGGATCTATGGCCGTGGACCCCAAGATCCCTCTGTTCCTCCACACTGCCAAGAATCCTGCCAGTAACCTGTATTCTGCATTCAAATTCGACCTTCCAAAATGAATCACTTCACACTTTTCTGGGTTGAATTTCATCTGTCACTTCTTTGCCCAGCTCTGCATCCTGTTAATGTCCCGTTGCAACCTACAACAGCCCTCCACACTATCCACAACTCCACCAACCTTTGTGTCATCAGCAAACTTACTACCCCACCCTTCCACTTGCTCATCCAAGTCATTTATAAAGATCACAAAGAGCAGAGGTCCCAGAACAGATCCCTGCGGAACACCACTGGTCACCGAGCTCCAGGCTGAATACTTTCCATCTACTACCACCCTCTGTCTTCTATTGGACAGTCAGTTTTGTATGCAGACAGCCAAATTTCCCTGAATCCCATGCCTCCTTACTTTCTGAATGAGCCTACCATGTGGAACCTTATCGAATGCCTTGCTAAAATCCATGTACACCACATCCTCTGCTCTACCTTCGTTGATGTGTTTTGTCACATCCTCAAAGAATTCAATAAGGCTTGTGAGGCATGACCTGCTCCTCACAAAGCCATGCTGACTATTTCTAATCAAACTGTCCTTTTCCAAATAATCATAAATACTATCTCTCAGAATTCTCTCCAATAATTTGCCCACCACAGAAGTAAGACTGACCGGTCTGTAATTCCCAGGATTACCCCTATTCCCTTTCTTGAACAAGGGAATGACATTTGCCACCCTCCAAACTTCTGGTACTACTCCAGTGGACAGTGAGGATGCAAAATCATTGCCAAAGGGGCAGCAATCTCTTCCCTCGCTTCCCGTAGAAACCTTATTTATATCCTGTCTGGCCCAGGGGACTTATCTATCCTCATGTTTTTCAAAATTTCCAGCACATCCTCCTTCCTACCCTTTCCCCCTACCCTTTCCCTGTAACCTTGCATTTCATAACCTGCACATTTGTGAACTGTGGGAGGAAACCGGAGCACCTGGAGGAAACCCACGCAGACACGGGGAGAATGTGCAAATTCCACGCAGACAGTCGCCCGAGGCTGGAATCAAACCTGGGCACCATGCCACTCCTAAGGCTGATTCGAGTACTCAGGCTCCACACAGCTAAAGGCATGGTTGTCAAAGGTGAAGCTAAAACGGCAGCTGCTCCTGAGGCCAGAGTTGCATTAGTATAGATATTGCTGAGGACTCCCTGGAGGAGTTTGTGGGGGTAGGGAAATGGGGAAGTTGTGAGGCATTGGCAAACAAGGGTGGGGATGTTAATAGATTGAGGTGTTGCCTGGACTGCTGTTCTCTCATGTTGTGTATTTGTCTGGTAGGTGTGTCAGAAAGCCGGAGAGATCTCCCTAATGAAGCAGCAGATGAAAGATTCCCAAGCTGACGTGGCCCAGAAACTGAATGAAATGGTGGCTCTGAGGACACAGCTGAAAGAGGCAACATCAGCGTTGCGGGCCAAAGAGGAGCAAGTCCTCATACTGAAGGACTCGGTCAATGCCAAGGGCATTGAGTTGGAAGTGTGTGAGAATGAGCTGCAGAGGAAAACCAGCGAGGCTCAACTCCTGCGGGAAAAGCTAGGCCAGAACGAAGCGGAGATTTGCGGATTAAAGCAGGCACTGGCCGCCAGGGTCCACCAGAACTGGGACAGCGAAGAATCAGCGGACAAGCCGAGGGAGGAGCTGGCCTGCGAGAGTGACGAGGCGAAAATGCAGCGGCAGAACGAGGACACGGTCAAAGCGCTGAAGAAGCAGATTGAACGGCTGCAGGGAGAGCTGAGGCTAGAGAGGCAGCAGCATGAGCAGCAGGTGGCACAGTTCGAGGAGGAGAGGCAGACGTGGCAGGATGAGAAAGAGAAAGTCATCAAATATCAGAAGCAGCTGCAGCTGAACTATGTGGAAATGTACCAGAAGAACCAGGCGCTGGAAAGCAAACTGGGAGAGATAAACACAAAGGCCAGTTCACCCACTGCCGACGAAATGAAGCAATGGACACCATCGCGACTCGAACGGATCGAATCCACCGAAATATAATCTGTGACGCTGACTGTTCTTTATGTTGATACACGGAGTGGGACGGTTTCCACGCTCTGCCTAAACCTATTTGCCTGTTCAATTCACAGGCATCTGGTATTTTGTTTCTGTTTCAGTGCAATGTTAAGATTGAATGCCACAAATTTGGCCTCTATTTTATTTTGAAATTGGCTATGTTAAGATTGAATGCCACAAATTTGGCCTCTATTTTATTTTGAAATTGGCTGTGGATTAAGTTAAATGCCAGCCTCCCTCCCCCCAACCATCCTTTGCAGTGAATCCTCTTTAAAGTTCAGTTTCTGTTCCCCATCGTCTGCTGACGTGGAGTAGAGGGGTCAGGCGGCCTCTGGCCCACTCCATCCCGGTTTGTACCAGTGTGGCTAGTGGTATATGCCAGCGTAGTCATTTCCCTGCTTGGCACTGTGCCCTACTGCCCATGTCTCTTCCAGCTTTGGGCTGGGAATCCAACATCCTATCATAATAAAACAGACAGAAAGCTGAAAAGCTGCAAAGTGCTCCTTGGGTCGGTGGTGTCAGTTAGATCCATCAGTCGGTGAATTGTTTCTGTCCCCTGTTGGACATTCCCCTTTCATTCTGTTCTCCAACAGCTCATTGCACCTTCCTATCACTTCTCACATCCCCTGACTGTGCACTTGTTGAACACAAGTTCATTCTCTAACGTCTTCTAACCCTGGTACAAAGGAACGTGAAACTTTAACTCTGTTTTACCCCAGCTCAGATATTGCTGCTTGACGTTCAGAACTTTTCCAAACTGTTTCAGTTTTTATACAATGGATTTCAGTCAGGTCTTCCAATGACTCGTACGCCAGAAACATTGATGAGGCCCTCAAGTGGCCAATTAATAGCCACCGAAGGCCAGACTTCGCCTGCTGCTGGTATTTTACTAACAATGGAAGGATGCCCAAGCCATGTGTCAGGCTACTGGGTAAATCTTGCCAATGTTTCTGTTAGCTCAAGGTTGATTGTGGGGGTGGGGGAGTGGTTGCCCAGCAGTGCCCCCACCTTTTGTTCCCCACTCCTTGGTCTCTCAATCGTGGCTCACCGTCCCCCTTAGGCAGACCTGGCAGACCTGTCAGAACTGGGCAAAATTGCCTCTGTCTGGCTTCCATGGGGGAAGGCTGCTGTCCCCAGCTCTGGCCACTGTTGCTGGTGGCGCCACTTTGACTGGAGAACTGCTATATCAGCAGCACTTAGAGTTGGAACTTAGAGTAGGCTCCGAGATGGGTGGTGGAGGGTACATCTTGAAGTTAGAGTGTTTTATAACCAAGCCATTCCTTCCTGGCCCTCCGGAGATGTGCTCACCTCTCTGCATCCCAGCTGGGAGGGGGATGGGTGGGTGCAAAGCCACCGGCTCCATGAAGACTTGCAGCCATCGACAGAGGGCTTCACACTCACCTCGTATCATGGAGTGTCTTACTTCAGGATGGTCTCACTTTATATTGTCATATTTTACCAAGGCGGACCAATGACGTTAGAGATCACACCAATGACGTTAGAGATCAGCCATGATCTAATTGAATTGTGAAATGGGCCCAAAGTGCCAACTAGCCAACTCCAGTGCTCCCTGAGCACAGTGGCTGGGGCACGCAGCCTGGGCACACATGCAGCTGATTGGGAAATGAAGAGGCAGCTTGTGATGACATTCTGTGTGAATGATCCCTTGCAGATTGCAGTGTGGAAGTTCACCAACTACCTGTACAACCTGTACAACCCATCTGTCTCTGTGAAGGCCGCACAGTGCATCATAGAACCAGATACAGCGCATTGCTCCACAATGAAGTGGCATATCCATCAGTTTCCCATCTTATAAATGCTGCCACAGAGATTTTAGATTTCAATCAATGAATGCTGTTCAATCTAAAACTTGAAGCTAACACCTTCATTTAGAATGCCAACACAAATTTTAGATAGAAGCATCAAGGTGCAGTGAACTTTGCAAATACTACCATGTTGTGCATTAACAATCCCTGAGACTTTAACCATTCAGTTTCCTCTTCTGTTTAGTTCTTCTATATTTCCTATGAAAAACTGCTTACAAAAGGTCTTCATCCTGATTTTCATGCATTTTAACATATTTCACCATCCTTTTTCCTTCCAGAAACAAATCTAATTATCACCTCAAACTCTGTGGCCATTTTCTTCAATGGCCTTCAGTGGGAGGATTTTCCACAAGTCTGTTTTCCCTCTGGATGGAAAAAAAGAATTCCTGCCATCATTCCTTCCTTCCAAGTTCTGCCTCTACCATCAGGAAGAATTTAGCTGTCAATAGCTTTTGTTATCTTGAAAGGTCAATACCTAATGTCATATTAGAGTCAAGAAGTCCAAACCACATTTCCAAATACAAAAGTGTTAACTTTTTTTTCCCAAAATGTAAAAAGTTGCATGCCAGTCTTTAAAAAACAGCTTTAGTCTCAATGTCCTTCCTTTTCTTCATATCCTTATCTTTTTAAATTTTGCCTTCTCTAAACACACACAGAAAAACTTAGAAATCGATTCTTACTCCAGTTATATCTTGCTCTATATTACATTAGAGGTAAAAGCATTTGAGTAAAGTCTGGAGATAACAGCATATCTGGAAAACAATATCATCTGTGCCTCAAATATGTAACCAGCAAGCTTATGTGGCTTTGCAGCTGGATATTAGAATTGTGAAACTCAACACAGGCCCTTTTAAATTGAGTGGAGTCCTAAACCTTAGTAGTTTTCACTCATTTCTTCCTTTTCCCTGCCTCAAAATTCTTGGTGATAAAAGAGAATTGATTAGGATCACCCAATCAGGAAATTAATCCTGGAATCATGCAACATGGAAGGAGGCCATTCAGCCAATTGCACCTCTGTTGGTATTAAAGGTATGGACTGTGAGGAATAAAGAAGAATTGTGGTTCAATGATTTGCATCCAAATCATATAACGGCACCAGCAAGAATAAAAAGAATCAGTCTCTGTCATTTGAAAACTGTGCATCACTATATCAGCCTTCACAGAATAACTGGCTATTGACTGTTATCCATTGTATCATCCACATGAAAAGATGAATTATCCATTAATTTGTTCATTTGTAAATATTGAGTCGAGCTTGTGTAGTTCTGTGTAAATATATGTGCCTGTGCTGTGTTTAAAGGTAAACATTATCCATGCTAAAGTTACATGATTTCTAAGGATTTCCTGTACAACTAGACAATGCAATTTCTCAGATGCTGCACATCTTTCTCCCAGCACTGTGTAACAGTTAATTTAATGCATCACCAGGAAACAAGTGATCCTTAACTGGCAGAGCCTAATAAGGTCATTGAAGTTAAGTAAGAACCTGTCAAACTTATAAGATACAAAGTACGATTTGCAAGTGTGTGACTAAAAATTAATTTGACGCTGTACAACATCACCAATCATTCTTGTTTTAGTTTTGCCTAATTCCCTCCTAAAGCAATGGGTAAAATGCTGTGAATGGGGAATGCTACAAGATCAAGAATGGTTGTGAAGGTTGTGCTGCATATCGGGTGGCTTGAATGTTGTGAGTTTTGCATTATATCTGATACATTGTGACTCGTATTGTAATTGCGATTTTCCAATTTGTTGTCATGCCAATGGGTCACAGGACAGGTACAGACCCTGAAATTCTGAACAGCCTTATTTTGCCCATCGGACTCAGAAGAGCCAGAATCAGTCCCACAGTGTGGGACAGGGGTAATGTGAACATTCAGGACTGGTGGTTCATGCATCTTTAATGGTGTACTGTTCGATGTCTAATGCAATCCACCCTTAGCGTATGCAGAATGCCCTCTATGGCACCTCACTGGAAAACCCACAGGAAATTAGGCCCAAGGTCTATGGTGAATGTTTGCTGGTGAGTTTACACACATGATGGTGCTCTATAAATGAGATAAGAGTAGGCCATATGGACCAATGAACCTGCTGCATTATTCAGTAAACTCATAACCAAACCTTTCCATCAGTCCCACTCTTCCCCTTGACCCATATCCCTTGATTCCGTTAATGTCCTCAATCTGTCAATTCAAACTAGAATCTGCTCATTGATTGAGCATCCACAGCTCGCAGGTCCAAGAATTCCAAAGTTTCACCATCTTCTGAATGAAGAAATTTCTCCTCATCTTAATTTTAAATGGCTCAACATTTATCCTGAAGTTTGAGCCCTAGTTTCTGACTCTGTGACCAAGCAAAGCAGCCTTACAACATTTTTTATTCATTCATGGGATGAGGGTGTTGCTGGCTAGGCCAGCATTTATCGCCCCTCCCTGATTATCCAGGGGGCAGTTAAGAGTTAACCACATTGCTGTGGCCTGGGGTCATATGAAGGCCAGATTAGATAAGGACTGTACTCTCCTAAAGGGCATTAGTGAATCAGATGGGTTTTTCCCACAGTAGTTTCATAGTCATCATTAGTCTCTTAATTCCAGATTTTTTTTATTGAATTCAAATTCTCCAATCTGCCATAACAGGATTCGAACCTGGGTCCCCAGAACATTGCCAGGGTCTCTGGATTAACAGTCTAGCAATAATAATACTAAGCCATTGCCTCCCCTCACATCATCTGTAAAGCCCACTGCCAATTTTACAGGCTTCAATTAGGTAATTTCCCATTCTTCTAAATTGTTGAGAATATTCTACTTAATCTCTTCTTGGAGGATAGTCATCTTATCCCAGGCATTAATCTAAACTTTGGAACAAAAACAAAGTTGCTGGAAAAGCTCAGCAGGTTTGGCAGCACCTGTAAAGGAAAAAACAGTGTTAACGTTTCGGGTCCGGTGACCCTTCCTCTAAACTTCTTTTGTTCTCCTTGAGCAAATCTTTTTTCAATAAGGAGACCAGAATTATGGACATTGCTGCAAGTATAATCTCACTGAAGCCACATTATTGTCCATCTGCCTTGTCCAATTTTTGACTTTTGCAGCCTTGTTACATCATCCATATCGCTTGCCTTTCCTCCTAGCTTTGTCTCTCCAGCAAACATGAATGCTGTTCACTTGGTCCTTTTGATGTAGGTTTTAAATAGCTGAGGGCCAAGCGCAGACCCCAGCACACATTGTATCTTGACATTCTGCAGATGACCCATTTGTTCCTGCTCATTTCTTTCCAATAGGGAAATCTCATTTGATAGTTCATGGATCCTGTCTCACTTTGGGATAATCTTGTGAGTAGTTAGCTGGTAATTCCCTTTAGACCATTCAAAGCTGACACAATGTCCATTTGTTTCCTCAACCCTGTATATGTTATGTGCCTATTAACAAGCTTTATATTCTAAAACATTGATTGCTGATTCCATGATAAGTTACATAAAATAAAAAATAGGTGGAATATTTGTATTGCAGTCAGTACGTTTCTGGTTTCCTCTGGGTTCTCCCTCTATGACATGTTGAATTATCTTGAGCACTTTAGTTTATACCAAAGTTTATTTAATGTAGAAAGAGATTATTTTTCCCCACTGATGTCTCAGAGGCATTTGTTTCAAAAATTAGGAATCTATTGGGCCCTGTGAGCCATGTGCCAATGCATAAGATGTTATATACTTCAGAAAACTTAGCTTCTGGCCGTAGATCTGGGTGTGCGAGTGGCTGTGTTGCTAGTTTTGCACTCGCACAAAGCAGTTTTGGGTGAAAATTGATGTCAGTATAACTTGGAAAGCTACTGCTGCCTGTGAGCCGTAAGACTTGTGTTCTTGAAACCCACTTGAGTTTACATTGGGTGCCACCCAAGCCTGTGGCAGTGTGAGTGCTGACTTCAAGTCCACCTTCTCAGAGGGGAGAATATTTATACTGACAGGTTGTACAGCACAGCCAGAGTGATAGTCTTAGAAACAAAGCAATAAGCATATAATGGCACACTTGTAAAAATAATATTTATTAGTGGGCAATGTCTACTTTTACAGTAAATCCCTCAGCATAGATCTCTCAAAGTTGCTCTGTGATTGTTTTGCCATTTTGTCCAGAATTGACTGCTGTATTTTTTAGATACCTATGGTTAGGAGGAGCTGCATGAGGATCAATGAGCTGTGATGTATAGTGAAACAAATTCCTATTGGGAAACTGATGAAGAAGCACTTTTTACCCAATTTTCTTCCAGTGGATAATGACATTTAGATGATCAAATCAAGATCACATGCAACAAAACATAGAGATAAACTTGTTCACCAGGAACTGTTACAATAATTGTCACTGGAAAGTTTGTAAGTTCTCCCACGATGTTTTGGTACAAATTCATGTGTATGTTAAAACTCAGGAGAGATATTTGGAACATGGTGAGTGTGAATCTAGT